TTATCTAATATTTATCTTTTATACTATTAAGTAAGCTATATAAATATATGCACATATTAACACATTTTCACAAGCACACACAGACACAGATGTGTTATATAAGATATAGAAGGAATCTCTATATATTATATACACAAGCACTCTCTCAAAAAGTTACAGTAAACATACAGGCAGGCACAAAAAACCAGTATCTTTGTAGAAAATATATTTAGTGCACATCTTTAGTGCTGAACAATATGTTACAGCATCTGTACATACTTTGAAAATTCTAAATGTAGAGCAGGCTTCATTAATAAGATTTACTTCTATGATATTTGAGATTTCACAGTTAAAGGAAGATTCCCGAATGTAAAACCCTGATGACATGCATGTCAAATGTATATTAAGTATGCTTTTAAATGCAGAAACAACAACTAAAGGCTTTGTTGTTTTGCTTTTGGCTTTATTTTACTTATTAAATCAGTTTTGTAGAAAATAAAGGTAATTTCTTGTTAAAATCAAAATTACCTAGCTTTCTGGTACCTTACCAAACACTAAAGAGGTCTATACTTCCCCATCTCTTCCAAGTTTTTGGAAAATAGTTGACACAAGCTAATCAATCAAACCACTTTCTGAAGTCTGTAAAAATATCCTAAACATTTCTACTTTATAGGCCAAGTTGCAGGAATTATCGTGCCAGTATATGATGTTCACCCACACAGATGATCACTAAAGAGAATCTGTTAAATTTCCAAACACTAAAAAAATAAATAAAAGCCATTAAGAATATAATTAAACATATACATTTTTTTTTTCTGATTTATAATGTTTTGCAGTGGAAAGATTCACTACAGTGCCTTTTTCATTACTCAAGTGTCAAACGGCTGTAAGCAATTCTTTGGCAGAGCAACTAGGGCAACGAAAAAAAAGAGGGTGGGGAAATTAAAAACCTAAAGGAGGCGGGGGGGGTGGATGAGGACAGAGGCATCATTTCTCACTTTTAAGCTTTGAAGTCATTAGCATGGAGGATCTGAGCAGTAATTCTCATGGACAAGCGTGCTGGCAGTCCATTAGAAAGGAACACGGTTTCAGCTAGTCTATACAGAACATACCTGCATTTCAGATGAGCAATGGGTATGTGATGTTTTAGTTGTGGGAGAGTTGTTGCAGTATTATTGCTTAAAAATGAAAATAAATAAATGCTGACTATGTTAGCTGATGACTGAGAAAATCTAGGAAAAGCATGAGGAACAACTTGCTTCCATGTTGAGGACGTTCAGGGTTGGAAAGAGTAAAAAAAGAATTATGAGAGAGGCACAGCTTGAAATTTTAAGCACTTGTACCAAGCAACTTTGAGAGAGTATCCATTTTGCTGCACAAACAGTTCACACCTGTGAGCCAGATTGCATGTGCTGAGCTGAGTTTACTTCATGCTGATTTAACTCACCACTGGAGGGGCTGAGCTGAGAAACATGAAAGTGGAAACAGTACAAGAAAGTGTACATGTGCAGTCACACCACCTGCAATTTATGGAAGCTGGGAATGAACACTGAGTAATCTGATATGGGAATGGTTATGTTTAATGTGTCACTTATTTTTAGTGACTATTTGGAGCGTTAACATTACCATGAGTAATAAAGAAAAGCTTACAAACACAGGCAGATGTATCAAAAATGTAAAGGATGTGCATGTTGCTATTCAATGGCATTAGTATGAATAATCTCATAAACCACGGAATATACTCTGTGCGCATGTATATCTAATACACATGTTCATCTTTGGGAAAAAAAATACAAATGTACGTGATGTATGCTACACTGAGGATGCCATTGAAACCTCAGTAAAGCTTGGTCAAAAGTTTGGTCAAGCTTGGTTTCAGAAGCTCTGACACATTCTAAGCTGGACTACCTAAACTGAATTGCAACATGACAGAAGGCAGCAAGCAGGTCCATTAAGTCTTTACCCAATTAAGTCCTTCTGCCTAGAGGGAAGCAGCTTGCATGTGGCAGTACAATAAAACGCTGCTGCTGAACTAAATTTGAAGTGGCTAGACTCGTATCAACTATGGAGGTAGCAGTGAAGCATCATAGCTCTTTTTGGTGTTTTCAGAGAAGAGAAGCTCAGGCTGCCATACAGATTTTCTGTTACGATTTTGAAGTAATTTCCACTCATTGTAAAGTGCTGCTGTCCCTCTGCTACCACCTCTGTGCGGGCCCAATCCATGTGGTGATTCTGCTGCCAAGTAAAATGTCATGATCCCATAGTTCAAACTGTTGAGTCTACATTCGAGTTAGGTCCACTGATCTTCTGGTAAAATGTGGAAGTGTGGGTAGTGTTAGATCTCCTGGGGCTGTTAAATAACAATGTGACTCACAAGGAGAATCAATGGAGAAACTGTGCAGAATACCAGGCTAACTACGTTTACATGAATTAAACGCTCAAATTCTTTAAAGATTAACCCTCTTTGGTTTCTTTTGGTGGCATGTCCTACCCACACACTGTCTTGCGGGCACGTATTTAAGTGTTTCAGCTGTGTATTTCAGATGCTTACTGCTATGACAGAAACTCCAGCTGCTGTGCTGTTCGGTTTAGGGCCTGTGTTGAAATGCTTCTTTATCTTCCCAGCTACTGAGAGCTGATGTTCATTCTCTGGAAGGCCATCATCCTGCAGAGAAATAAATCCAAATAAAACTTCAGAGAGAAAAGGCAAACTAAAGGAATTGCAAGGTGATTCTGATAGCACCTGTCAATATAGAAAAGTTTACAAAGTTGTTTGTCATTCATTGTCTCCATTAATATATGTAGGGTATTTATAAGATGATTTATAAGATGAACATCACATTATGTCATGACCCAGCCTCTCTCTTTTTCTTTGCCCAAAACTTTCCTCTCAAACTTTAGGTAATGTTAATTAATAATAATTTTAAAATATTTTATTATTCTTTCTACCATGTCTTAACTACCACTGCCCAGTTATCTTTATGACCATTAAAATTGCAGAGCTTGATAAACTCAGACATGTTTATGATTCTGTTTACTGATCACATAAATTTAAAGGCAATGACCTCAAAAGTAGAAAGACCCCAAGAGATTACAGAAACCAGAAGCCCTGTTTTGGTAGGATGCAGGAAAGGATCTCCAAAAGCCCCGTGAGACACCGGTAAGGTCCCAGTCTTATTGTAAAGGTTACAGACTTGGCGGCTATAGGGTTGGGTGAATGTTCCAGCCATGGTTCAGTGAGTCCCATGGTGAGGAAACCCAGGGAAGGTGGGAGCTGAGACACGTCTCTGCTGAGACCCTCAGGGTGGGTGAGCGTGGGACCTCACCAGCACCAGGATTTATCATTGCATATGTCTGCAGGCCAGGTTGGGTGTGGGCTTACAGCATGCCAGCTGTGACTGTACCATACAAAAACCATAATTAAACAAAGCCACCTCTGCACATTGAATCTCCGACTGACTGATAACAAAGGACTGCAATTTCTTCCCCCAGTGCCAAGGCACACTGGCCTGGGATGCTGTGGGGAAAGGACAGCCAGGTGGATTCTTCTTCCTTGCTGAAAGACACGTGTTCTCAACTGGAGCTAACCTGAGGTAAAAGCAGGCATGCAACTACAAGGCCAAGCAGGCGCACACAACTACCAGCACCAGGTGAGCTGGCAGTGTGCAAGCTCCAGCCCAGAAGCCAAGCAGCTGGGCCAGGAGGTGCCTCCTCCCGGCGGAGATATCCCGCTTCCCAGGGCAAATCTGTCTATCTGCACCTAGGCACGCAGGCATCCTCGACGCTGAAGCAAAACCCTAGCAGAAAGAAGGGAGTTTGCAGTTTTGCACAAGACAGCGGATTGAATTCAAGACCAAGAGAAGAAAGGCATTAGAAATTGCAAATAAGGCCCTTAGGCCTAAAAAAAGTTAAAAAGTCCAAAAAACCAATGTGCAGTGAGACTTCCCTGCTACCAGAATATGCAGGATTTCAGGCAACAAAATGCAGAATAGGTAGAATATGCAGGATATCAGGCCACTGGCTATCTGCAATGGTCATCCCAAGGTAGTACCGCATGGTATATATAGCTATCAACAGTTGAAAAAGTTATTAATAATCCACTTAAGCAACATCCTAGCAGAATACATGCAAACAAAAGGCACAATCAGAATACAGAGAGATTACAGACACATTTTTCTGGCTTTGCAGCAATTCTGAGTGCACTTAAAGAGTTACAGAGTTGCTGCAGTAAATCATGAGGTCAGTGAGCATATGGGAATTTTAGGGAGGTTGGTTAGGGTTTGTTATTTATTTAGCTTGGGGAGTTTGTGTTTAGAGATCCCTCACTCACCCCTTAACAAAATGTCTCAGCTGGCAAAATATGGTCAAGTGCACACAGCTGCAAAACACAAAACAAAACAATACAACCCAGTAGCTGATTATTGTCTAGCACCGGGGAGTCTTGGCTCGGTAGTATATGACCCCTAAAAATAACCTGCTTTCCGCTGACCTTGCCTTTCCCAGAAGAAAGCTAGTCTGTAAAGTGAACTCTTCTTCACTGGAGGGGAAAAAGAAAAAAAAAAAAAAAAAATCATTCTTTTGGCTTTCTTGACATGAAAGCCTGCCAAATGTTCATGTCTTCGTGTCAAAAGACTAAACTACGGAGAAGACAATAGTTACCCAGACTGTGGTAATATTTTATTGGTGAAGCACCACACCTACAGTTCCAGTGGTATCACACCAGAGACACATAGTTTGGGCTCCAGCTTTTAGATGAAATATCTTCCTGCTCAATTTAAGATGCAGCATAGGGATATATGGGAATTGCTCTATTGTTATTAAATTGTCTTACTATTGTTGGTGCTACCTGATGTTTAGCAGTTATCTTTTTTTATTATTATTCCAATGTGATTTATAAACAAGCTAATATATATTAGCTGGCTACTGGAATCACTTCAGCCAACAATAAAAGATAGATATTGAGGGTAAGAGATGACAGCTGTTTAACTACATACAAACCAAGCTGCTCTGCAGTTTAAAAAGGCAAGAAGTGAAAAAAAAAAAAAAAACCCACAAGATTCACCAAAATCAGCAGGGTAAGTTGTAGAAATGGAGAACAGACTAGATATTGCTGATGAGAATTTCATCAGGTTGCTGTAATGGGAAGGATGTCAGAGGTTAACTCTTCCTTTCCTCTATTTTAACCTTTTTCTATAGGAACTACTTATTGCAGCAGGTTAGGAGCACTGAATTTCATCTCAGGTTTAGCACTTAGAACAAGATCTTTTAAAGATAGCTAGTGATTTTTGGTGTTCAACTTTGGGAACTTCAGAAAATGTTGACTGCTGATGGTCTGAAAGAAGAGCTCTCCTGAGCACGTCTCAGAAGTTGAGCAGTCAAGATCCTTTGACAGTTTGAAAATTCTGGTCCAGAATTTGAGTTTTCACCTAGACAAAATAAACTGCTTGGGATCTTAAGATGCTGTGCTGGTTTTGGCTGGGATAGAGTTAATTTTCTTCATAGTAGCTAGTGTGGGACTGTGCTTTAGATTTGTGCTGAAAACAGTGCCGATAACACAGGGATGTTTTCGTACTGCTGAGCAGTGCTTACATAGAGCCAAGGCCTTTTCTGCTTCTCACACCACCCCACCAGCAAGGAGGCTGGGGACGAGTTGGGAGGGGACACAGCCGGGACAGCTGACCCCAACTGACCAAAGGGATATTCCATACCATGTGATGCCATGCTCAGCTTATAAAGCTGGGGGAAGAAGGAGGAAGTTTGAAGTGATGGCATTTGTCTTCCCAAGTAACCCTTATGTGTGATGGAGCCCTGCTTTCCTGGAGATGGCTGAACACCTGCCTGCCCATGGGAAGTGGTGAATGAATTCCTCGTCTTGCTTTGCTTGCGTGCGTGGCTTTTGCTTTACCTATCAAATTTTCTTTATCTCAACCCATGTGTTTTACTTTTTTTTTTCTCCAATTCTCTCCCTCATCCAACTGGGGAGTGAATGAATGAGCAGCTGTGTGGTACTTAGGTGCCAGCTGGGGTTAAACCATGACAGATACATAATTTTTTTTTTTAATCCACAAAATACCTGTCATGGTCTATTTGCAAGAAATCAAAATAAAATTTTTAAAAAAAAAAGAGGCAGAGGGTCTTGCCATCATTTGAGTAATTAATAAAGACTGTTTTCATATTTGAATAGTTCTCTATGGCAGGAGACATTGCTACATAAAGGGAAATGTTAAAAAGATGGAACAAAGTTCAGGATTCTCAGACTCCTACTGCCCTGAAGCACTCAGATCCATTTTACAGTCTGGTCACAACAGCTTTACTTTCCAGGTCTAAAAGCATCAGATGAATAGGTCATTATATAAATAATAGCAGAAAATTAGAGCAAATAGAAGTGCTGGAAAAGCTTTTGGACTCTGTTTCCTTTAAGGATTACAAGGAAGTTTTTCTTTGGGCAGTGTCCTAGGGTGTAACTAGAAGTAGTATAGCTGCCAAATAAGAAATATCTTTTTAAATTAACTTCCTTACAAATGTCCAGCTTATTACTATTTACTGCTTGGTTATTCAGTTCTTTTGCACACAAATTTCCAAGGCAGACATGGTTAAGGAAATATCTAAAAGCTCCAGTTTCCCTAATTCCTTTTAGGCTGGTGTGTGCCATCTTCCTCCTCCAGCAACAACACACCACATTTTATATTGATTATTTTAACAGAGAAGGATTTACAGAATGCAATCCATCCTTTTCAGCATTCACTGCTCAATGCTGTATTAGGAAATATTTACTACTCAAACAACAAAAAGAGAGTAGGTTTGTCCTGTAACTCGTATAGTATAATTCACGCTATCAGTATCATCAATGTTTAAAATGCCAGACTTCTAGCCTCTTTTATAAGTCTTGGGTTTTGCAGAGAATTTGAGCAGGTAAAGGAAAGAGCTGGGGTCCCTGTAGGGGAAGTATAAACTGATGGATTTGTTTCCAGGTCTAAGTGTACTGCATAGGAGAGACAAATCCAAATAAACTAAATGGAGGGGGCAAGGAACTGCTGCTGAATTGCATTTACAATTCAAGATCTCCATCTGTGGCAGTGGCACGTAGCCAACATCTTTTCAGGTTTTGTTTTTTTGAATTGAAAACAGCTGGGATATTATTGACATAGGAACTGCTTTACTGGTCTGACTCTGACCATAAGAAGTTTTGCAGTTTCCAAGAGGATTCCAGCTATTTTTATAGCAAAAACTGAAACTGAAATGAGGGCTGGCTCCTACTGAAACTGTCAAAGCACATTCCAGGAATCTCAGCAATTTACCAAGTAATCACATAGTAAGCAGCTATAAAGTAGAATGGTTATTTACAATCTACAAAATGGTTTTATACAGTGTAAGCAGTTACAACACTTCTATCAAAGGTTTGATCAAAGAGATAAAATGTTCTTAAAATTGTCGAAGAAAACACATGCCTGCTTTTCAAGCCAGATGTCCTATCCAGTATTTTAGCTGCAAGTTTACCACTCCATGAATAGGTTCAAAACCAAAATAAGAAAAGGGAAAGTAAATTCCAGCATTTGGTGCCACGGAAAAGTATTTGAACAGGTTATCTGGAAAAATGGAGTTTAGGTGAAAACGCCATGTGCCATTTCTTCTCAGACAGTATTTTATGAAAGTTGCAGCTAATTGCTCAGGTAATTATGACACATGGATTGCAGATCCTTTTACAAACAAGGATGAGTATATCAATTCCCTGCCCTGAAGCTGGGAAAATGAGGCACAGGGAGGTTGTGTGACAGACTCCCAGCTGGTCAAACTGGTGACGGCATGGGGATGCAAGGTCGGATCTGACACCAGTGTATCATTCTGCCTCCATACAGAAGCAGGCTGTCCCTGCTAGGCTATCTACTGCATCCTTCTCAGACCCACCTCAGGGAAGTGTCCTTTTTCACGAAGCATTTAAGCACCTGTTTCAACTCAGCCATGTTCTTATTTCTCCTGAAGTGAACTAGGCTTTTAGTGCCATCTAGTTAATTTTATGCCTAATATTAAGTGTTTCCATGTGTGATGCCTTGAAATAGGAGCAAAGTTTGGAATGTGCTCAATCAAGCACTTTCCTGAACTGGTCCCTGTGCTGGCCTTTCTCCTTCCAGAGAGAGGAAGATATATGAGAGAATTCAAAAGAGGTTTTGATCTGCATTATCTTGTTTCCAACAGTGCATCGTAGTCGCTGTTTATGAAATAGTACATTTAACGAAGACAAGTAGGTCATGACCTTTCCCTGGTATATGCTCCAGTTTCTGCAAACCAAGTACTTAAGAACTTTGTGAGCCAAGAGTTGTATCCAGACCACTATATTTAATAGGCACCAATGGGCTCATCCTCCAAAAAAGTATCAAACTCTCTTTTGAATCCATTTATACTTGGCCTCTACAGCATCCTCTGGCAAAGGGCTCCACATTTTAACTAATTGCACAGAAACCCAGGAATTTGCCAGGGTGCTTCAGTAAGTAGAGCTCAGGTTTGGTTAGTGGACCTCTGGAGTGTTAAAAGATTTTAGCCCCCAGCCCCTTTCCCTGTCCCTCCCCATCAGCGGGCAGTAGCGAGGGCAGGGATCAGACCCTCATGTCACCTGCACACCATCACCTTCCTGACAAAGAGCTCCACCTCTTCTTAATACATGTCACTCAAATGGCTTCCTAAAATACATCATGGTGTAACTGAAGCCAGAAAAACCCCGAAAGGTGTCGGGGGGTGGGGGGTGAGCATTAACAGTTCCAATGTATTTTTCAGAAAAAGAGGAAGATTAGTGACCACATCCTTATGTGGTGTAAAGAAGTGATGTTTCAGTAACCTCAGCAGCAGTGTGCAGGCTGACACTGCGGGTCAGCTGGTCTCTGCAGCTTCTGATCAGTCACTTCCATCTCTTCTCAGCAGCACTCCAGAAATCCCCACCCATCCTCCTCCCATGGAGACAGAGAGACACCTCAGTCACCAAAAGTCATTATAAACTGTGACAGAACACTATGTCCAAGCACCTGGCAATAAGGAAAATTAATATTTCAGCTGCTTGAATGCCATCTTAAAAATGAAAAGATTTTCATCAGACATTGTCCTGGATCATTGCACTCTTTGTACACTGCAGAATGCTCTGCATGATGATAGCATTTACAATAAAATAAAATAAAATAAAATAAAATAAAATAGTTTAGACAATAAGGGAGCCTCCAAGACTAAAGCATACACTTGGTAAAGACTTAACTGATCTCCACTATTCTGGGCTATATGGAGGACACTTTCATAAAAAAGATTAACATTTGAGGTTACTGTATATTTGAATTTTTAGAACAGTGTTTTAGTGAGAAAAAGATTTTGGATACAGCAGCTAAGGAACAAAATAGTATTCCAGGGAGGACTGCACACTCGAACTTACATCAAACAAAACAAAGCAAAATTAAAGCAAAATATTATTTCTTTCTCCTTTATTTTCTTTTCCTCTGCTTGTCCCAAATGTATGTCTTTTCTTAATCTTCCCTTCTGAATTTGAATCTGGATTTTCTCCAATTTTTCTTTCTTGTCATCCAAATATTTTAAAACATATTAAATAGTCTGAAATAATTAACAAATATTAAGTAGTGTCCTTGCCTCAACGTTAATTAAAGAGAAATCTCTTTATTCTCTGCCAGATTTATCTGTATGCCACCTCACCGATTACCACTTTTATGGCAAATGTCCAGTCACTTTGAGATAAGCCAGGATACATAAATAGCTATTTCATGGTACCTCAGATTAAATGGATATGGCTGCACATAAATATATGTATATTTCAATGTCAGAAGCTAAATATGATTCTAAAGGTTTCCCTGTTTCATGCAGGATCAAGTAGGCTTAACACTATGGACTATATTTCAATAGCTCTTAATCACGACTGTCAGATTTTTGAGTCCATCTGATCTTAGGAGAGCAAAATGTGTCACTGAACTCGCAAGCTGATTGTTAGAGGTATAAATTTGTCAAGTGTGGTTGAGATTTGTTGAAAACCTGGCCCAAAATATTTCAGAGAAAATGTAGCTGAGCATGCATAAAATAGTGAATACCCCAAGGTATGTGTGATATACTAAACCAGCCTATAACCCAGCTTATTTCCAGTTAAATCTGTGGCATTTTTAGAATGTGCTGGCTCCAAAAGGGCATAGAAAGGACTTGACAGAAAAGAGCTCAAAGGTGCCAAATTACAAGCAGCATCTACAAGCCTGAAAATACTTACATTAACCCATGGGTGCTCAAGAACTTGCAAGGCTGAGAATCGCAGATCTACATCTACTTGAAGCATCATTGTGATAAGTTCCTGAGAAATGGAATACTGGGTCAAATTTAAAGAACATTTTTAAAGAACAAATCCACATTTAATTCACTAAAGTGCTCTTCAACCGATTATGTAAGAGTGCTCAAAGAGAGAGTGAACTACTGACTGCAGAAATATATTGAGATTATTAAAAAAAAAAAAGAACAACTATGAACTGCTGAACTTCAAACCGAACTTTTAAATCAATATCTAACAGTACCTTGAAAAGTTAGAAGACAGTTCTGAGTTACAGTTCTGTAGCCACTGTTTAAAAGAAAAGCACTTAATACATAATGCACAAAACAGATGGTCGCATGAAATTAGGTTAGCTTTCCATTAAGAAAAAGCCAATTCCTCTGTAGGAAAAAAGCCAGCAAATCCAGAATTTTACTTTAACCTCTTCTATAAATGACAGAGAAGATATTAAAAAAACCCACTTAAAACCATTATTTTTCATCCTCTGATTTCATCTGCAGTTACCTAATTTTCAACTAGCATGTAAATAAACATGTATCTAATTCCACCAGTGAGTGGAGTGCACAGAAAACAGGATGGCAGTATGACAGCAAATAAAGGGGTATCACCAAAGAGAAAAGTTAATGATTCTTAGTGACAAGAAGTTAAATGAATAGGCTAATGCTTTGAAACTGAAATTTTAGACTGAACTGTTTGGAAGAAGGAGTATCACAGGACAACACCATTGGCAAAGGATGTGCACAGAGTTCTTATTAATGATGCTACGAGTACTGGTACAACATAGTGATGTGGTTTAGAGGACTTCTTCCAACTCTATGACTGTAGCTCATTTGTTAACCTCATTAGTTAGCAGGCTAAAACGCTAGTACGGATCACCCTCCACATATCTATAAAAGCAGGATGTATTGCTCCCAAGAATGGAGATTCAGAATGTAGAATGCTACTTTCATTACTTGCATCCACCTCCAAATTTCATAAATTATTTTTGTGCTTAATTAAACACTGTCACACTGAAAGAAATAAGAAGACAATTTTGCCCGGATTTCAGTTACAGGCTAGTAAACTGGCAGAAATTAAGGCTACAGAAGTAAACTGGCAGAAATTAAGCACTTTTAACTACATGATGACCAACTGAACAGGTTTACGGTTTGGTTTTTTTTGGTTTTTTTACATACACATATATATTCTCTCTCTCTCTCTCTCCCTATATATATATATCTATCTACACACACACATGTGACTAGCATGAATGCCATATCCCTGGAAAATCTGTGAGTTAAACTGTTGCTCCAGTGCACTAATGAGAGTTAAAAAATTTGATCTGTTCTGCACATATAATGAACTCTGTCAGGTTCTGTATCTGAAAAGGGTTGTATCTGCCTCAGCACACCTCAAGCTCTACCTCCTTTCTGTCATGTGCCCAGCGGCTATGGCCCATGGACTGGTGGACAGAAGAAGTCTGTATTTCGTACCACACTGACAACAATAAGGAGTCACCGGCAATGCAAGACCTGGTTCTTTGACAGAAAGAAACAACAGACATATCATCTAATGGGATTAATAAGGGGAAAACAGCCTCCCTATAATAGTATTGTATAATATCCAAAGGCTCCACGTTGGTACGTGGTCCCCATCGTAAGTACATACAAAGCACAGTCCCAGGGAGCTTTCAAGATAAGAAGTGTAGGTCAAGCAAAGTTACTTGAACTTTTTCTTGATCAGTAAGGGCTGCTGGTGTCTCTGTTGTGTGAGACATCACATAGAGACGGGGTCCATTTAGAACCACCTGGGGTCTAACAGTCAGACAGTGATCAAATGACAACATACTCAGTGACCCAGAGGAATTTATAGGTGTAGCAAGAGATGTATGAGACATGTCAAATACAGCACTGTGAAAGAACAACATTCATTAGATACTAGTACTGGGAAATACTGGAGAAGAAAGTATCATCAACTATTTAAACCTACCTTTGCAGAGTCAGAAACGTTGTCCCAATATGGAGATGGAAAATCCACCTGTCCCATCAAAATCTGATCAAAAAGCACTTCTTGGTCATCCCCACTTCTGTGAAGAAAAAAACAAACAAAACCAACAAAACCCAGGAAGAAATTACTTCCAGAGCTGGTTTCAATAGGCTTCTTGAAATTGCTTTTAATTGGCAATCCCTTAGTATGCTTTTGGAAGCTGTTGATTCTCCCCAAGTATGCAACCATGGGTGTGAATGGTGAGATCGTAAAACAAAGTGCATTTGGTACATTCTTTCTGAGGTAACCTGCTTATCTTTAGGATTGTCAACAACTTTGCAATTGCTTTGAGGGGGAGAAAAGATCTGACATGTCCTTATTAAGTGGCTTACATTTAATTACCTTTTACCAACCACAAAATATGTTGTATTTGGTCCATGAAAGAAGATGCTTATTTCACTATGTATTTTAAACATCAGGCAAAGGCACCCAGAACCTGTAATGGAGGCTCTTGTTTTGTAATGTAATGAAGGTTAAACTAAAATAAACAAACATCAGACAGAGATTTTACAGTAAAATCACAGACATTTATGGGGTTTGTGTAAATTACTATGCAGACCATGGGAAAAAAAACAAGACCAGAGAACTTCTTCCAGTGGGAATCTCTGTGCTTAATGCAAAAACAGCACAGGGACCAATTCACAGAACAAAGATGGTTGAATAGATCAGGCCATACCCACGGAATGGGGGGAAACCACAGAGCAGGATGTAAGTAATCACACCCGCTGCCCAGATGTCCACCTTCAAGCCATATCTAGAAGTGTGAGAGACATGGTTAGAGACAGCCGACCCCTAAGAACTACAGTACAAGAACAGAGGAAACATTTTCAAAATTATTAATAATTTCTTATATATTCTCATCTGAACTTTCTCTGTGTCCTACCTATCCTAATTCCACTTTTTTACATTTACATCTTAAAACCACATCAGAACAGAATGACAGAATGCAGGAGCGCACAGAAGATGTTGTGCTGTATTTTTGAGTTAGTATTGCCTACCAGCATAAAGCCTGCAAAGATGACACAGGCTGCTCAAGCCAGCAGGCTTTAACTCTGTGGAACAAATCAGAAGAGGACAGTGCGTGATAACAAAATAAAATTAAGTGAACGGTAGTTAGCAGTCTCTGGGGACAGCTTAAGAATTACTTTTATTGTATCTGCAAATGGCTAGTTAGGAACTCAGTGTTAAGCTGAGAAGTTTGATGCCAACTGGCAGAGGAACCTAGTATAACTACAGAGTTGGCCCTGCTCTGAGCTGGTTTGGACAAGAAACCCTCCAGAGGTCCCTTTCAACTAAATTATTCTATAAACCATGATTCTGCATCATATCCAAGCAAAGGCAGCATAAAAATCTTAATTGCAAGAACTCCTGTCTGTCACACTGGTGAAAACATGCTCCACTGTGTATGCATCAATGAATCATCACTAGAAGTTATTTACCCAGTTTCAGCAATGATTTCTGGAGCTACATATGTTGGGGTCCCACAAACAGTATATAGAGGTCCATCCACAATTGTTGCCAGGCCAAAGTCTCCTAGCTTCAGGGACTTGCTTCCATCTTGGTGTTCATAAACCTAAATCAGGAAGAAAATTCAAAGTTTTAACATAGCACCATCAAGGTAACTACTATATCATTTACTAACTGCCTGAAATGTTCCTTCTAATTTACAGTCTTTTTTTTCTCTGTCTTACCTACAACAAACTTCTCTGCATGCTTTGAAAATTCACAGACTATTAGGACAACTTCCCTTGAATGCACTCAGGGCGTTTGGGAAAGACTTACCTCACTACCTAGCCAACAAAGGATGTTATTTCTTCTTGCTAGAAGCTAAAGCCCAGAAGCAAAGGTCTGACCTTCCAGCAGTGACGTTCCTAGGTTAACTTCCCACTGACAGCCAATTCACAGTGTAGGGTTTTTGGTTTTAGGGTTTTTTTATTTTACTTGTACAGAGCTTAAAGACTTGCACAGGGATTTCAACTTCTTAGATAATTCAACAGTGACTGCACTGATAGCAGCAATTGATTCTTCTCTGGGCATTAAAGTTCCAAGATGAAAACCTGGCTAGACTATTTCACCTCCTGGCTGGACTGTTTTACTTAGAAACACTGTCTTCTCCTTGGTTGACTGCTAAACACCAGTCAGTGTCTTGGTATGTTGCCATCATCATCCACGGACATAGGTAGGGCTGTTAATGAGTATACATTAAAATCCTGTCTTAAAACATGGTCTTCACAGCAGCACCACAATCTTTCACAGGTTTTTATAGTTGCAATGGGAGATTCAGATATAGTCACAAGAAAAAGCTAGAAACATTACTAAAAAATAAACAATTTTAAGAGATGGCTCAATGCAAAAGAAAAACCCCAAACTTGCAAAGACTGAAAACATACAAAAAATGCTTAAAAATAAAAAGACTAAAATTTATCTAAATTAAACACTAGACTGCAAGTCTTTCTTTAATCCAGCTGCTGGTTTGGGTTCTTGCTTCCCATTTTGAAATTGCTTATGGTGGAATTTAATGCTGTTTACCACAACAGCACCTTAAAAAATGAAAAAAGTCTGCAGGAAGTCTTCTTAAAGTATATATACATCACATTATCATTTTGCAACCCAAATCAAAGCTCCATGCAGCCTGGCTCACCAAAAAGTGATATCCTGACAACAATTAGCAGTTACACCTAGCAAAAATAGAAGATATCATACTTCACAATCAAAACCAAAATACTAATACCCATCTTGACCAGCTAGTCTTACATCAGAAATTACATTTATCTGCAGTTGCGTGCAGAGGAAAATGCTAGAATTTTTCTTACAAAAATGCAATAAATGCTACAATGGACCCTCGAACAGTTTAATTGGTTCAAAAATGAAATCTTGAAGTCTCTCGCCACTGTTTGCTACAGATATACTATAGCTCATAATAATTAGCTATGTTGTACAGCCCCCTCAAGTTTCTCCTTTGTTAATGTTCATCATGTCTAGAGAGAAAACCCCTCTCTGTACTGCATCCCTGCTACCAGGTGATACAGTCACAAGCAGACATTCAGAATACACAAAATTCTTCTTTCCTTATGTTATTTTTAATAACACAACTGGATCTTTAAGAGGACCAGCAATTTGATATGGATTCACATTTCTCTGCTACTAAGCCAGCTTATAGAAAAGGACTGGAAAAAAAGCAATTATGGTTTTATTAAAAACACAGACTGTTAAATACATCTGGTTCCTGAAACTAAAGAAAGTGCTCTCTGAAATGGCAGTAATAAATCTAATTTCAACAACAGTCTTAATTAAAGGCTAGAGACTAGAGCTTTAAATATTCATTATTTAATTCAATTTTCAATTAAATATTGCTGAAAAATGTAACGTGTGCACTTAGACAACAAGAGCTGAAGCCAGACTAATTAGCATCTCATATTCTATTTCATATGGTTATCTTTTGTAAAGCCCTCTCCAAATTGTGTTAACCTAGTGAACATTCATAAGTTCCCTCCTTCAACAGACAGCACCTTGTATGGCTCATATATCCTAGAAATTAATTACAGAAAAGGGTTGTTTGGCAATATTTACCAACGCAGAAAGTTTGGTACTGTGCATTTTCTAGTATTTTGCCCCATCTGTTTCTAGGAATTACTTTCCTTGGAAAACTACTTCAGTTGACTTGTAAAACTGAAGAAAGTAACTTTTCCTCACCCTGTTATAACTCCATATAAAAAGGAGCCCAATGTGAAGCTGTGGTATGTTACTTGCCAGTCAAGGAATGTGAAAGATAATTTAATGCTCATGTTATTCAGAACAAACGCTATATATGTTCCACTGCATTTAAATACTGAAGGGCAATTAAAGAAATGGGGATTAGTGCAAATTACCCACTATGTAGTGCTTTCACTGTTTTAACTAAGCAATAAAACTGTGTAATTGTACAACACTAATTGAATGCAGCCACACATAATTGTGTGCCACCATATGTATCCTATTACTATAAAGACTGTCAGTATTTTCTAAGCTGCTCTTGTGATCAGTGCAGATGGCAACAGTCAGAGAAGTTGTTCTCTAGGGTTTATTATATGGCTATAAAGACATCCATGACTTGACAAAATAAATGTGCTAAATAGCAGCAATTATGAAAATTGTTCTAATTAAAACATGGAAGACACTCTCTAGAGAACAAAAAAAATGCTAAAAAAATGCTAGGGTATTCAGCATACCCTAAAGTCTCGGACAGTTGACTGTTAGGTGGGCTTTGCATGCCTTGAGGATAATAAAGAATATTTATGCACTTATAGAAATAACTGGTGTTGCACACAGGACGTTGAGACAGGTTCACACACACAAAGGTTGATCAGCAGGGTCTATAGCTAATGGCAGACATCAGCCTTAAGAGTGAAAGTTACTTTTGGGGAAAAGGAAAAAACAAAGTTGAGAAAGAGGAAAGGGCAAGCTCTTTCCAGTGGCCAGCTGGGAACAGATGCAATGAGAAGGCTCCAGATGAGCATCCTCCTCTGGGCATCCCTCCACACCAGCATAGGCTCCCCTAAACCTAAAACTACAACCCACGGGTAGGAAAAGCATGGGGGTGAAGGGCTGATTCTGACACCGGTGGCCAGGCGAACCTGCTGTAACAATGCTACCGGGGTTTGCTGGTGAAAGGCAGTGACACTAATGGCGTGAAAGCAACAGCACAAGAACAACAAGGGAAAAATACTGCCATGACCACTTAGGTGAAGGGTTACAGAGCCGCATGCAAAAGGCAAGCTACAGAAGGCAAGCAGAAGGTCTTTAGCAACAGAAAGGCTAAGGCCCATATGGCATTTTGCAAGTGTTTCATAAATGCCAGGAAAATAACCCCAACTGTAATCTTGTGATACAAGGAACTACTCATCCCATTTGACAGATAAGAAGATAAAAGTAGAAAGGTCAAGAGACATGAAGGCCACAGACAGCCAATGTCAGAGACAGGGTCAGAACTCAGGTAAGGCTGGTTCAGAAGCACTTTTCTAAACCAGCGATCATTTCTTTCAGGGACCTTACAAACCTCAGAGAATTAATATAATTTGTGAATCAAATGCTAGCTTTTGAGAGTTAGGGTGCTGCAAGAGGAGAAGTGCTGCATCCTCACTGCTCAGTATCAATGCCAATGTAGGACCTTTACATATGCACAACACTGGAAAAATCACTCAGAAACAATTCAGCTACAAAGCCAACAATGTGGTCACTCCTGGTAGTGGGTGATTACCAGAGACAGCTGGGTAGGCAAATTTAATCCTCTCCCTGTTGTCCCCACCTCCTGCCTACCTTTCTTGCTTCCCCTCAAAGATTCAACTCTACTATTGTCAGACTTTAGGCATTTAGAGACATGCCAAACCAACAGCAGGGCAAGCCCTTCTCCAGACCAAGACCCTCCTGCACACTCCGAGTCACAGCATTAATGAATCCTGGCATGTGATTGCTATAACTTCTGCATGCAGGCACCTACGAACACCAGCACAAGGGCTGCAAAAGGAGTATTGATCGTTAGTGTCTAGTGAAACTTCTACCCAACGTGTTTTCAGCAGTTTCTGGAAAACGAGGGCAGGCTGCTTCCTCACCCAGAACTATAAAGGCACCTGCCACTAGAGGAACCTCAACTGTAAAAATCCCACTCCCTGGAAGTTTAGTAAGATCTACTCAAGGCAACTTTCCCACAAAACATCTTCAGTGTCCAGCAGGACTAAATGCACTAAGCCATGGCAGAAAGCACAGAGCTGAGACAACTGATATTCTAGGTATCTTAAGCATTGTTCTATGGTTGCAGAATATGTGGAGAATTGGGACATCTTGATAATGGAACATGTCAGCAAATTCGGGAAAACTCAGAGAACAGTGAAATAATCAGGAGAAATTAATTTCTCAGAAGAAATAAAACTAAGTCCATTGGAGAACACAATTGCTGCATTCAAGAGTGCAAAATCCTCAGAAGGACTAATTGTTGTCTTCAGTGGACAGGGCTCATACGGATTCAGTCAGGAAAAGGAGTTCAGGCTATTTAGTAAAGTGTGGTAGTAAAAAGTGCTATGGGATTATTTGGGAGATGCAGCAGGGAAAGGAAGGACTCTGAAGGCTCTTCCTGGTTCTGCCCTCACATACTACATGATTAGGGCACAACATTTATACCCACCATGTTTGTAAAACTGAACTGCTGCTAATTACTGAGACAGCTGCAGAAGTACAGAATGGTCTATTGAGGACAGAACACCCTCATATTTTTGAGAAGCTTGAAATTATACTGCAGCACACTGAAAGGTCATTTCTAGTGATCACTGGAACAACTTTGTCGCTGTGTCCTGGGGAACAGTCTAGACATACCAGCTGATGTTGCTGTACTTTTTTTGATAGATGTTATTCTTAGGAGGGCTTTACAATGCTGAAGTTAAAATTAAAAGATCAATGACTTAAAAGACTGAAATAAACTTGGGTGAGGGGGTGGAGGGAGAAGCGCAGACCTTCTCTCACACACTCCCAAGTTATCAACAATATTGAAAGTTGAATTTTCACTTACCAGTAGATTCTCCGGCTTGATATCCCTGTGGACAATGTTCAGGCTGTGAAGATATTTGATGGCACTGGCCAGATTGTAAAGCATCCCACTGGCATCCCGCTCTGTATATTTGTTGGTGGAAGTAATAGCATCAAAAAGATCTCCTCCCTGGAGTAAAATGACCATAGCATATGAGCAACACTGCTTGTGAGATGACTGAAGAATTTAGGAAAGATCAAGGAGCATCATTTATAGAGGAAGAAGACAAGGGAGGAGAAGCACAGTTTCCATGCAGCTATAAACTATGGGTACTGTGATGACATCCTCCATAATGACAGCTGAACATATCAGTAATTCAGAACCATTTGTCATGGCTTAGTTGGTCAGCCAAGAGGCTGGAGCCTCTACTGCAAACTGTTCCCACCTGCTGCTGCTTTTGTAACTTGGCCAGCACTCGCCAACCTGTGTGTCCAGAGCCCATTGTAAATTTCTGGCATGCCTACACGATGGTCACGATGCCATGTACCAACCCCTGCTACTCTATTATAATCACAAACAGGCTGACATCAAATTTTTGCCTAAAGTCTGACTAAACTCCAGAAAAATGAAGACATTCTGAGTAAAACTCGAACCAGCTATCTGTCATCACTGCTAGTATATTTTAAAAGTCTGTTTCCGTCTCAAAACTTTGAAAACATGGATTTTAGAAACCACTTTCTCTACACAAGATGTGAAGTTTTTGGTAGTGCGATGCTGGTCTTGCAGCTAATATCGAAGAACTTCCCAGCATATATATCAGACAATCATACTGGAAGACACTTAAGAATTAGTATTTCACCACAGTTACAAACACAGATGGCAGCTTGTCTCATTTCCAGCTTATCGTGCTAATTCAGCTAAAAGCTACTGCCAGCAAAAGAAGAACAAGAAGAGAGAAAGAAAGAAGAAGGAAAATTAAGTAGAAGTTCTCAAAGTTGCAGTGATCTTCACCAGGATCTCAGCAGCCATGACATTTGGACTGTCTTTCCAGAGCTGCGCTGGCAAGTGGGAAGAAGAACATGTAAGTACTTGGAGAAAGACCAAAAAATAAGTTTACAGAAGAGATTAAGGAGTAGGCTTGATCAAGTGGAGGAAAAAAACAAACATCTTTTGAGAGATACTACTCACAGGTATTGGGCCTTCGGCCAAAATCAAAGCAGCATCATAAAGGAAACACAGACCAACAGGAAAAAAAAAAAAAAAGAGGAGGGAAATGATAATTTGGGAAAAACAATACAAAAATTCCCTGCTGCAGTCAAAACATCGAGGAAAAAATGTATCACAGGAGACTGTATTTTAAAGAAAAAGTAGGTATTTTCTGAAGGCAACAAAGGAGTCCCAGCTTTGCCAACTCTCATGATTTTATCAACAGCTTCAAGTTATTTGGTGGCTTTTTTTAAGGCTCAGCTCCAGAGTAAACACTCTTTTCACTAAGAGAAAGGAAGAGAGGGAAGAATTAAAAAAAAAAAAAATAAAAAAAAAAAATTTCCAGAAATCATAGCTACAGAGAAAGAGGTAGGAAAAAGCAACCACCAAAGACTCTAATCTGAGAAAACAGACATTACTTGTTAAAAAACCCCAAGCTATTAAAAATATTGCATTGTTGAGGTGCAGCTGAAGTCTGCCAGGGCAGGTTTATTCCCAGTGTAGATGCAAAACCTCAGCTTTGGAAACTGCTTGCAGCCAACCATTGTCAAATCTGGACCACATCAAAACCTCTTGCTCTGGCTGGTGACTGATCAAGATACATCAAGATACACAGTGTCAAGGAAAAGGAGGAAGAAAAGGCCAAACTAAACCAGATAGAGGATTAGAGAGAAAGGCCAAATATTTGGCAGAAGTACAATACCATGTACTTCATGGCATTAACTGATCCCTATGTATTAGGTATCAGCATGTGGCAAAATATGTGGGATAAATAATCTATCTTCCCTAAATTCCTTCCTGTGAAGCCCCTGTACCAGCTGCTTTTTAACATGAGGTAGTGGATTAGACAGATCTTTGGTCTTATCTAATATGTTCCAGATGCTCAGGAGAAGTGTCAATAACATCAGAAAACGATCTGCCTCCAAACAAAGAAAACAGCCTGAGCTGCGATGTGAGAGGTGAGAAGGAAAGAAGCTGAAACTTAAAAAGAGAAGGGAAAATTTTGGCCTAAGGTCAGAAGAAAAAGAACAAATGTTCATGCGCAAGAGAAACCCAAACTCAGAGGAATAAAGAGGCTGCAGAGCACATTAACAGACAGTCAAGCCGATCTAAAGCAGCATCATTTTCTCCAGTTAAGCAGCCTACTTTACTCGGTAAAGTTTCTTACCAGGTAGCCTAGTAAGAAAAGACAGCATATATTTACTGTGTGGGATTCTCTGCAGCTAAAAGAGAGGCACTGGCCTGGAAAGAGTTAACAGAGCTGACAGCTATATCAGGCAGAATTGTTTTCAGACTTCCCTTTCCCCAAAGAGCACTTTAACCTGCAAGGTTCTGCTTAGCCGATTCACACAGCAGGTCACTATCATTTATTCAGGCACAAGGGGTGAGTTCAGAATGACATTTCACTCTTAAATCCCCCATTCTGGAGTGAAATGGGACCAGCAACATCTGAATGCAGTTTTTATCATCTGTGCACATGAGGAAGTATACTTGGAAGTACAGTAACCAATTATTTATTTATTACCTTGTTATGTAAATGATATAATCTCTCTTTTCTTCTGCAAAAGTGAAATCATATCCTGGAGCAGTAAAGGAAACTCTGCAATAAATCTTGCTTGTTAAATTGGCCAAACCCCTGTTAGGTTTGAATAACAATTTTGTTTCGCTGTGTAAAAAGGCAACGTGCCAAAAACCAGGTCCTTGCTTCCTTTTACAAGCACCACTTGCAATGTGTTTATATTTGTATTTATGAAGTGCTTTTTCTTACACTTTACAAAGCAATGAATGGCCTATCTGCCATGAGGTGAGGGCAGTATTTGCAGCAGCCACTTATGTCAAACATGTTACTGCCAATTAATGCAGGGTGGTATTAACTGAAACCGTGCTCTGCAGTATCAAGCCTTTTCTCCTTGAATTTCTTTCCTGTCTATGAGTTTGATTTAAAGTCGGGTCTTCAAAAGTCAGTCAATAACAGATGGTTAATCAATTCTAACAGTGCACGCTATGAAATGGGAACAGCCAGCAACTGGTGAATTAACAATTAATGTCTTTCCAGAAATACCTTCCCTGGTGCCCGTAGAGTATAACAACGCGCTTTTTCCCCCCAATTAAATATTAAGGAATAGAGATTTGTTTCAAAGAAACAAAGTTCACTTCCCAGGATCAGGACATTTCTTCTAAATTTCTTCTATTACTCCACATAAAAGTAAAGAACATTAAAACAGTGCTCTCTAGGATATCTCAACTACAGACATTTCTCTAAAGCCCTTCTATAGCATAAATAAAAGCATAAATAGCTTAGTATGTGCAGCAATCCTGAAGAGTAAAGGAGAAAGAGTGCAAAACCCCATATTTTTCCAGAAAGTGAATATAATGGATGGTTTTCTTTATGTACATTTTTTACGCTAGTTATTTTGTAAGAGTTGTCAGTCCCCTCCTCTCTTATTTAGCTGAGTAGGACTTTGATTAAAAATCCACTGGAGACTACAGTTTGAACATTTTTCAAGCATGAATAGCACAGCAGGTTGCACCCATAAAACCAGCTATGTGCTTATGTCCTGGCATGTTAGACAAGGCACAGCTTTTACTTCTTAGCACACCTCACGGGGCCAGGATGAAGGATTTGTCAATGCAGGCTGAAGCTGTGGCTACATTAGATTACAGCGCAGTATTGAGGTACCTTTGAACAAGCTCTCATGGACACTGGGAAAAACCTACAGTAGCATGGATCTCCAAGTGAGCTCATTTATCATAGAAAAGAGCAGCAATTATGATTAAAATAGTGTTAGATGGCTAATGGCATCTCATCTGAAGCTGTGCCATTTCACGTTGTATTCGTGAGTGTGAGAGAGGGCTATGACTATGAAGAAGGTGGGGAAATTCTTCTGGGACTGGTTACCCAGAGGGATTTGTGGTGTGGCCACTATTTTACTTTTTTCTTAGGATTTAACCTCTCCATCAGAGACAAAATGGGGATGATGGGTACCCTGTCAGCTCCTTGCCACTAGCACGTCCCAGTATGCTTCCTCAGAGCTTGGAGGTGGTGGACAGTAAGGTTAGCAGGACCATAAGCTCCATAGCACTACTCAAGCAAAGTAGGGCATCTGGCAGGCTCATACCTAAAAGGACAATGTTGCCACGTCCTAAGCTGTGGGGCATGGCCTGAGCTTTTCAGGGATAACAAGGCTATCTCAGCCTGCCACAAGGACAGGGAAAATCTGTGGCCACCCACCCACAGGCCACACTTAGCCTCCCAGCTTTGCACTGGGAACACGGCTTGTGTCACAGCTGCTGCCACAGAGCGTGGGGGATAATGGAATGAAAAAAACCCCTTTTCATTCTCCTTGCTCTCCTGTTACAGCCCAGAGACCGAGAAGTTCTTTAAGAAACACTTGGACCTGGGATCACCCTATCTAACATTTCAATGAGGTGCATTAAGAGCATCCCCTAAGCTCCACCTACAACCAGTGCAAAGCTGGTAACAATCCTGCTTGCCAAAATTGCTTTCTCTCACAGCCTCCGGTGTTGCCTGTTTCTAACCACAGATACAGAGGATATCTTCCAAAGGTGACCACACTTTTAAATTAAGATAAGTGGAAGTGATTTGGCTGCCAGGGTTCAAAGTGTCTGATTTGCTCACAAGTATTGAGCATGCACATACAACTGCTCCTGCTGCACAGCTTTATTATAAACTTTGTCCTTAAACACTTGAGACTGTGGTTTTCCCAGGCGTAGGCACAATAGGCTGCTCCAGGAGAACATGCTGATCCAGATACAGAAATGGAGGTGGCTGCTGGAAAGATCTCCTTCCCACAGAATAGCCGAGGAAGGAAGGAGAATTGCTAATTCCATTAGTTAATGTGAAAAACAGGTGTATTCTGTTAAAGAAAGTAGGGAGGATAAAATGTCCTCAGTGGTTTTCTGTCCTAATTTGTACAATTTACTCAAATGTATTTTTACCACCTTTTATGCACAGTGACATACTTGTGTATTAGTACCAGAACCGAGAGCTAAATTTGTATTTCATGCACTGCACTGTTGACAGTATGGGGGCAAGAGATGACCTGGTCTGAGTTTCATAATCCAGTTTGAATAAGTATTTCTACCAGTGAGTGAAATAAATGCATTAGATCTGGAAGTTACTATAAAGAAATAAATAAGGTCCCAAATATAAACTACTGCATTCGCAAACTTACTTTTCAGAATAGAATCATGCTTTAAATAGCAGGTTTTTCCTCTTTCACTTTCCCCCCTCCTCCAGCTTAAATTTAGATTATTATCAAGGAGGCAAGCCTAACAATGTGTTAATATAAATCAGTAGAGAAAAAAGACAGGTAATATAATTTAAATTTAACATAAATTAATAAAATTTAATTAAACTCTATCAAAGAATATTGATTTTTGAAGGCTGGTATTTACAGCTATTTGGACTGGATGTATTTTGAATTCATCTCAAGGCTGATGTGGTTTTTAAAGATAAAACGTCTTTTGAAGGAGCAACTAAAACTTTCCACAAAGCACTTCTGAGTGTGACTCACAGAGAGCTAGACAAATATTGGAAATATTTGAAAGCTATAAAAAAATATCTGACTGTGTTACATATCTTTCAGTAGGGTGCTGGACAAGACTACCTTCAGAGACCTCTTCTATTCTAAATTATTCTGTGATTCCATGATTTTTAGTAAGCTTTAGTACAAATGAATTTTCTCAATATGGTTGAAACAATTCTTAATAAGCAGCTTATCATCTCCAAAATACTCACCTTTACGAGTTCCATGACAAGGTACAACTCAGTTGGCATGTCCATTTCTTCAATCAGAAGTACAATATTGGGATGCTTGACTCGTCTTAAAATAGATACCTCGTTCTGGATCATATGTTCCTGCCACACAGAAGAAATCTTTAATGACTATAGGTTGGTGGGAAAAAACTTTCACAGTGGAAAAAGCAGAGAGAATTGGGACCTACTTGGATTCTTCAAGGTTTTTTTAAAAAGCTAACAGATGTTGCCTCCAGCAATATGGAAGGAACATGTCTAGAAACAATATAAGTGTGATAACTGATAGAACAGAGAGTAGAACATAGAAAAAGAAATGGAGGAAAATACATGTTTCTGATGTAGAGAAAAGTTACATATGGAAGCTTCTAAAACTTTTCTCCAGTGCAGAATCTTTGAATTTAAAAATATGATAGCATCTTTTCAGAGAATCTTTTGTTACAGATTTCAAAAGCCAACAGAAATTCATTTAGTATAAAACTGACATCAAGTTGATTAACCTTGCATATGTTTAGACATAGTGACTGGTGCTGTTATAAATATTACTATTACTTTTCTGTTTTCTATAACATCTGGAATTATGAAAGAGGAAGGGGAGTGAGTGTACCCCCACACAACCAACCAACTGGAGAATCAACACACGCATCTAGAAGGGCACATTGCAGCCCTTTATACTGATACTCCAAGGGTCTTTGCTTCAACCAAAAAGATTCTAACACTTGCCAGGAAGAAGACAAATACCAACAGCTTCCCAAACTGATTTCTTACAAAATATTTCTTAGGAAAAAAAATCTTTTGGTCTCATTTGAATTTTTTGTACTTACTTTTCCTCTACATTTACTTTTTTTGATTATTTTCAGAGCATATTCTCTACCAGTTGATCTGAGGAAAAAGAAAAGAAAAAATTGTATGTTCAATCACATTGCATATTTTTCTCAGTGGAGTTTACATTTGTCATTTGAGCACATTAGGTCTGGGCAAGAATTCTATTCAAGTATTTGTTTTGTCAAGAAATGAAGCTTGGATTTGCCTTGAGTTGTGGACTTGAGCCAAATTTACTGAATACCTGCGCCTGGGAAAAAAGCATTAAGCTTTTTTTTTGTAAATGAAGGCATTTCAATTTTTTTTTTGAAACAAAATCACTTGTTTTTTCATTTTGTAGTGGTATTTGTTATTTCTTCTGCAGTTTTATGTAAAAATATTATATAGTATTTACAGATCCAAACCTTCTCAAAACCAAAAAGTTTTGTTTTCTATTAAACAAAAAAATACAAGCCATGGAAAATACATTTATTTTTTTATTTAAAAGGAAGAGTCATTTGTTTTATCTTAGCATTCACAACTGCTATGATTAAAAAGTCAGTCACTGGAATAATGTTTTATGTATTCAGTAAGTATGTGATATCTAGCAGAGTTAAATATGATGTTTATGGAACAGAATACAAAAGGTTCTGGAGATGTTAAGAAATTACAAAGAATTAGTTCAGGATGAGAAAATACTTCCTTTTAGGTGGGGTTTTGTGTTTTGGTTTTTTTTTTTTTTTTTTAAACCATGTAATATTTATCACTACCACAAACATAGATATTTATTAGATGGAATGCTAACATGGAAAACTAAGCTTGTAGACAAGTTCCCAATATCAGCTTCCATTTCTTAACCAAGTTACAAAACCAGAAGCTGGCTGTAAGGAGGATACCAGGAAGCTCTGCTCACAAGCTCTAGTTTCACTATAAGGTTAAATAAAGAAGGGATAATACAAGAAAAAGCTCTTATTATGTTTTGTAATAAAAATCTAAAGAGTTTACAAAAGTCTAAACCATTGCCCTTAGGCATATGTTTGGTTAAAAAAATAAAGAAATAAATAGCCTCTCAAGCATATGGGGTGATTTTTTTTTTCATTCTTCATTTAGAAAAACATAGTTAAATTGATACATTACATAGATATGTAATAAGTTAAACAGAGAAATGAACGTACCTAAAAGTGTAGCAGTCTGTCAAACAGGATGTGCAAAGTGAGTCATAAATTGAAAGCACTGCATTAGGAAAACAACTGGGCATTTTCATTGCCATATTTAAGCATGGAGATCTCCTCTGGCAATGATGTACCACTAGGTATTAATTTAAGGGAAAATGGGGACTTCAGGAAAAAGAAAAAACAACCCAAAATATTAATTCTGTTTCAGTTCCTAGATCAGCAGGGAGCAAAGACAATCTGTATTAAAACATTGATCAAAAGACTGTGCAAAGAAATCACACTGGATGATGAGTTTTATGACTTGGAAAAAAAAGGTACAGCATGGCTGTTCCAGACTTAAGCAAAGAAAAATTAAAAATTTCTCATATCTGTAGTCCCCCACAAAGGGGTTTAATGCTACAGCCCCCAGAAAGGGGCTGCACTGCACATGTGCTGCTGTTTGGTGGCTACAGACCCAGCTCAGTGAGGGGACATGCAGAGATATGGACACTATTTTGGAGGAATGGAAGGAGGATATTAGAAATTAAGATATTTGGGGTTCAAACTGAGACAAAATATGCCCTCTTTCAATAGGGGTCTCTTTCAAGCTCCTTAGTTGCCCTAGGAATGCTTCCTTTCTGTCATGAGAAAGGAAATTGATGGTTTTTGTTGGCCATGGGAGACTCCATGTACTCCTAAACACTGGGAAATCTGAGCTAGTGAGGAAATGTCAGAATTTGGAAGTATCTGAAAGTTAAAAATGAACACATATAAAAACACCACAGGACAAATTGCGCATACGATGGAGCAGATATGTAACGAGCAGATGACAACTCTGACTGCTCTTTGTTTTGGTAAAAAGAAAATTAAAGCTAAGATAATGCAAATCCTTTCCCCTAAAAAGCTGCAGAACCGCAGGCTGTCAGCAGCGCTGCAACTTACACACCTGCCAAAAAATATGCACCGCCATGCCAGAAATGCACAGCAAAATGGGCATATCACCTCTCACCTATCACTCAACCCAAACAATGAAAAGGTGCCACGCAAAGTAGAAAACACGTTACGGCTGGATAAGTCTGGACCAACCGCACTAATGCAGGGCATGGAGTTAGACCTATTAGTTAGCTCACGAGAGGGCTCTGTGCCACGGTCCCTGGCTGGTTTAACCTTTTGCAAGGTTCATGGACATTTCTATTGCACTGGAGAGAAAAATCTATCTTCATTATTTTTGTGTGTGCTTTAAATGTACTTGTATGTGTGTGTGTGTGTGCCTGCGCGTTCACAGATGCAGGATTTAGAAGTCCCCATGAGAAAATTTTGAAGATGGTTTTTGGTTTCTGTTTGGACTGTTCGTTGGCACAGGAAAATGCCTGTGCACCCATGTGAAGTATCCGAGTAGCTAACCAGTGCACATGGGCTGGTCACCACAGCTATGGAGAAGTATCCGTGTGATCAGTGAAGATGTGTAACAAGACCCATTCCTACTTGCTTAACACCTCACAGTGCTATTTCTTTGAAGTCTAATGCACGCAGGAATTGTACATCAGAAGTAAGTGGAAAAGTCCTCTGTCCCAAGTATCACCCCATCAATTCTGGCTCTGCAAATGATGGACGTATCAGACTTTGAAGTGAGGTGTTTTCTGCTTAGAAAGACTGTGAAGAATGTTTTTGAAGGGGTTTTACATGTACTGGCTTTAATTTACCCTCTAGGCCTTTAATTTCTCCTTCCACACTTGTGATAGCAAGGGTATACTGCTTTAGAAGTGGAAACTAACAGAAATAATTCTACGTCAATTTTCAAGCTCTCCCAAAGTAGTAACTCTCTGATATGAATGGGATCTATGGAATGGTATGGCTCAGAGACTAAAAGAGTATGTATCTGGGAATATCTGAGTTATCATGCTATTTGAGCACATATTCACTAGATACATTGTGTTATCGGATACTTCTGGGACCAGAAGGATAGGCAAGAGGACAGGAAACAGTTCTCATTTAAGCTCTCGAGGATATTGTAATCAGTATTATTTTTAGCTGTGGTGTGACCTATATTTAATTTTCTTCATGTCTTTTTTCTCAGCTTGAGAAAGAGTTGTAAAATGCACACTAGCACATTTGAACTGTCTCTCAGAACAACTGGCATTTTCAGCTGAATGACAGTGTATCAAAACCTCAACCATTTTTTATTTTGTAAATTTTGTAATCTGTTTCTCTCAGTCACTACTCACTTTACTTTTAGCTTGCCTTTTTCTCTTTTCTTAGTTATATGTTTCCACCCATGTTTTTCATTGGTCCTGCCCCCTCCATAGGGTTTTACAGCGCTTTCTTGTTTTCACATTGCTTTACTTTCTTTAGGTTTCCGTATTCCACAGTTTAGTGTTCAGACCCTGGGGTTTGATCTGAACAGCTATCGCTCTCCAGATGACCAGCTCCACCATGAACTCACTCTGACAGAGCTCTAAAGGCCTCACAAGAGCTTTGGCCAAGTCCCACAAGCACACTGTCAGCTGATACAAAATCCACTCTTCCCCCCTTCCCCAACAGCTGTCTTCATGGTCTCCAACTTGCCAGACTCTTTCAGATGCAGAACGGGACCTGTCTTTTCCCAAAGAGACTCTAAAAGCAGCCAAGCTAATTTGTCATCATCTGCCAAGAGATCTAATCTTGACTTACTCTCTAGGGTTAATATCACATTCTTACAGGCTTAAGAGCAAAAGTTCTTTGAGCCCAAAGGTGAGGTTACAGTCTTCTGTAAGAGTTCCCTCTCTAGGATATGGTAATAGGGGATATAAAACTTCATTCGTGGAATTTCTTTATCAGATCTTGACATCTCTATTGTTCTTTCTTTTGGACATCTCTAGCTCTGACAGGTTTTTTACCTTCTCTGCATTGCTACTATCTAACATGAGCAATCTTACAATCATTTCACATACCTTCTGTCTTTTTCACCCCATGTTCTCCTATTTTTAACAATACCACCAAAAGGCACCTGCAGATCTGCTCACAGCATTTCTGTCTTTGTTCCCTGTTTTTACCCTCTTAATGCTGGGTAGAACCACTTCAAACCTGGTTCATGACCTGCCTGACCAGATTTAGAAACCACCACCTGAGCTAGTCAACCTGGACACTTTCAGCAACACCGACATTTGAGGTGACTTGTGACTTCTCTAACCTGGAGCGGATGTCTAAAATCAGTCTTTAAGGGTGACTGTTCTCACCTCTTAACAGTAAAGGGCACTGAAGATTTTGATGTCTGCAGTGCAGGCTCCTAAAGTTGGATGGAGCTCATATAATGGCATAAAGCAGGCAAACTGGAGATAGATGCCCGTTTCATTAAAGATAAGCATGGAAGAGGTTACTCCTCCGTGTCAGATGGCAGAATAGATGGATCCAAAGTCCACTCTTTGTGCTGACCACCACCACTACACCGCACAGATAAAACTTCCTGACGTCTTCACAGAATGCTCCTACATGTGAAATGTTTCATCGGTCTAATTTAAAGGAAGAGTTGCAAGAATATATTGCAAGAAAATATGTTATTTCAGTGCAACAAGAAAGATTTAACGCAAAGAACTGGTAAAATCATGTGGAGTGCAGTAGAAAAAACCCAACATATAAAACCCACAAAGAATGAAATTCATAGATTGTCTCTTGGACTCACTCTTTTTTTGTATGAGAGGGCATTAGTCTAGTTTCGGCATCTGGCGTTGAGACATTACCTTATTCCACATCCCATATTCGACAAATAAAAACATAATCTAGAAAAAGCATGACATTAATGATTATTTTTGCAGTAATAAACATATTATCCTCCTCACCTTTCTATACACTCCTTCACAATAGCAAAATTTCCATCTCCTATAGTCCTTCCAACTTTATATCGCTCTGCTATCGATGCTGGAACCTGGAAACCTTCCTCCAACACTTCTGAAAGAATCATTAGTACATTTTTATTGTTAGTGAAGGAAACACAGATGTTGCACATAACATGCATTTTAATTCTGTGGTTTAGGAGCCTGGAAACCATTCAGAGTCAGTATCTCACTTACTGTACAGTGAAACCATGCTGCTGACATTGTATATACTCAACAGGTTTCACACAGATAAAATAATGAAAAATAAGACTTCTGGGGGCTCAAACATACCACCATTCGAGTGTTACATAGTTACCATTCCCATTGCAATATGCCCCCAGGACAAAACCAAAATTGTATTTTTTTAATTATGAAAAGGCCTCTGTGAACTGCACAAGCGCAGACCAGCCTCCAAAAAGGGTTGGAACTCCTTGACACAGCATGATTAAATATATGTACCAAAGAAGTCCAACACTCAAGCACTTATTTTATTACATCCTGTAAACTGAGACATCCATAAAACTCCTCATGTGCTAAGTGCTAGTTCTCCCCCTCCCCCAATATTAAATATTTAGTTTTTAAACAAATGTTCTCAATAATACTACCTCGCATGCAACCTGGGCACCAGATGTTTAGGTAAAATTGCATTACACAGTGTTTAAGCATAAGAAAAGTTTGTAGTTTCATGTGTTTTAGTGCTCATTCATGTACCATTATTTTTAAATGCATTTGAAATAGCGTGTTACAAATACCTAACATGCCTCTAAAAGCTGACTGTAAACTGCAGCTGATACAAACTACTATATAAATATCGCAATGTAAAAAAAAAATACCTCTCAGAAATGTGACTTGAATTTACACTCTTTAAGACAGCGTTTTTAACCGTACCTTTATCTGTCCTCTGTTCCAGTTTGGTATTAAAAGTGAATGTTACGATACCAGGAGGTTGGGGTTTGCCTGAATTCACAGGCAGCATGAAGAGTTACTGTCAGACAGGAACATACACACGCACTTACATATATGTGCGTGTGAACTGGCAGTCTTCGAGCAGACACTATCCCTTAGCCAACTTCTCAAAGCCTTAGTATAGGGTAAGACTAATAATTTTTGAGTAAAGACCCAGGACTGCGCTATGTTCTTTAGAACCATGACAGACGAGACAAAAAAATTACTGAAATAATCCAGTCAGCACTGCGTCACCTGCAGAACTAGTATCTCGAGCATCCTGCGACAAAAACACCTCTGAATAGTGATGTCCACATCAAATCTGATCCAGAGTGAACCTAACTGGTTTGCTAAGACTGATGAGCCTCCTCACGAAGAGTCATCCAGCCCGCAATGCTCCCACCTTCTCCAGCAGGAAGAATGACTCATTTCCTACACAGCTGCTGTTATCACTACATTGACTGCTTTGAAATGTCAGCCTTCAAATGTTACCTTCTGCAGGTCCATCATTTTCATCCATAGAGCTGCAAACTTTGGTGGATGCTAATGAGGTAGAGGAGCCACTGTGTTGGGAGCTCTGGAAATGGAGAGACACAAATGAAAACAGATGATTTTTAAGGAGCACGACTACCCACAGCACGTTCCTGCTGGACACACGTCCTGGAGATACTTCAGCATTCCCTATGTAAACTATGAATTTATTTTGGTGGAAGGATATGTGGATGCTTGGGAAGAGTCCAATTTTTCCACTGAAATTACACTTTTGGTACCCCCGCATACATGGAGATATCCCTGCTCCATCAAGTGCAGCAACATTTTTATGTATGGGCTGCTAGTTTCTCCCTATTCCACACAGATTTTGGCAGGGAAAACTGAGGAGCTGTATGCCCTCTGCAGGCAGGAGCCCGTTTTCTCAGTGACATCGTTAACCCAGCAGGCACTAGAAGCACGAACGTCTGTTTTGACTGAAGTTGGCTTTGTTATAGGCAGAATTCCTCACTTTTGCAAACCTCCCTCTGGTGAATCCTCCCCAGTTGTGTTCTGGGACGAATCATTATGGTAATGTATGGAGAAAACAAAAAGTCAGGGTGAATAACATTTGCTTGTTTGGAAAAGCATTTGCTTGGCTATGGCTCACTTGCGGCATGAGACACCACCTCGGTTTTAAGTATTTGTACAGCAAGCGTCCGCGTTTGCCTATACAGTTAATGGGGGAGGATGGTATCTCTACAGGCAGCTCTAGGAGACTTGTAGCCACCCAGCTTGGATGCCAAAAGTACAGCAGGCAGGATCTCACTAGGGAAGCCTTCCAAAGCACCTATCAATGTCTATCAGTTATGTATGGACTCCAGGCATGTACTTTACGAAGACTGCTTCATCACACATCTAGATGGCTGAAACTGCAGACATATCAGATGGACTGGATTTCACCCAAAACTTTTATCCTGTGCTGCGTAATGACTATACAAACATATCTTCAGGATTCTCCCATCTTCAAAGGAAACCAGAGGAAGCTACAAATGTAACAGTGGCCCTTTAAACTTACAGAAAAACTGGGCATTTCCTCAGGTCCTAGTGTTGCAACATAAGTGAGAAGTATTCAGAGGATTTCCAAAACTAAAATTTTCTTGGGTTCACATAGTTTGCATGCTAAAAGGTTACAAAGTGCTACAGTATTTAATTACCTTCTTCAATCTATATATTACATACATTGCAGGCTGTCCTGCATGTAACTATCAGTTCCTTATCTGTGTTTGCAATGTATGTGGATGCCCACAATCAGAGTGCCAATCCCCTTCACAAATTTAATACAGCTTCTTTGGAATGATGTCTCTCCTCTGCCACCGCAAGGCACAGCTGATGACTGGAGCAAGAATAACGATCGATGCAGCAGTTGGGATTTTTGCAGAGTACGGAGCCAGGGAGAAGGCAGACAGCAGAGTTAAAAGCTGGCCAGTATGCTGAATTCATTTGAGCAGACAAACTTTTAATTTCTCCCACAATAGATTAAGGTCAGATGATTTAGACAAAGGCTGAACTTGGCCTATTTTTCACTAAATAATCCTGAGAGCTTGCACATCCCGTCTACCACGAGATTCTTTGCCCTTTCTTTCTTTTAATCAACCCCAGCTCATTCTTTTCATCCATCCAAGCATTTCTTCTGAGCTTTGACCAGAATTAAAAATCGCGTTCATCAGTTTTTGGAATTCTTTGCTGCCTCTTGACAACAGAAATGAGCACTGACTGATTTCATGCAGTTTGCTAAGGCATTGCTGCCCTTGTTCCATGATTAGGACGTGTTTATGTGTGTGCTATTCCTGTGCTAAACTCTGTGGGACGTCTCAGTAAAAACTTACCTCTGGTTCATTTTTGAACAAATGAGCAGATGAGGATCAAGGTAATGGGAAAATGCTAGGAGTTCTCATGCCTGGCGAAGTCACTCTCAAAGCCTATTTTTATACCCGTGTAATGAGAGAATTGTTTCCTTTACACTCCTGCTTGTAAAATAAGCAGAAAAACATGTTTTCTCTACTCATTCTGCTGTGTCTGTTTGTTTTCCTAGACCAGGCATCCAATTTCTTACTTCTTTTCCCACTCCGCAGTATTTTCTTAAAGGAATTACAATTTAAATATGTTTAATATTTGTTACATATACAATTGGGAATGAATCTTTACAACACTTAAGGGGTACGACAGAAAAAGGTTAGTGCTAGGTTTTCAATAGATGATCAAGCAACTACTTCATTCAGTTTTTTGCGTTTTAAATAGTGAGATTACACTTTTCAGCAGATGTTGGGTCAAGACTGCCGACTACACACCTCTGCAGCTTTCTTTAGCAGTCTGACAGGTCTCTTTGTGGAGTCTCGCACCCCCATTTTTCTCATTTGTAAGAATGGGAGACATGAAAATGGAGACTTAACTCGGTGGCCACATCTCAAAATGCGTGCCTAGAGAGACTCAGATTTCTATTTGGGAACCTAATGTCTCAAGACGAGGTTTAGCTGAGAACTGCGACTGCTCAGTCCTTCCAAAATTAGACTCCCTCGAGGGCTCATTTCAGCAAAGCGCTTCAGCAAGTGCTTCACTTTAAATACAAATATTCTTAATGGCCTACACACGACTGAAATCAAATTCACTCCTAAATATCTGTCTTAGGTATAGCTCCCTAAATATGTATTTAGCCTAGGTTTTGTTAAAGCAACTAAAAAAAAGAAGAGGCCCACGGAAAATTTAAAGGAAATAAAACATCCATATGAGATCATTTTAAGTGCCCCTATTTCTTTTCTTATTGACACTACATAAGGATGGGAAGACTAAGATGATAGGCATAACTGAAGAACTACAGTGATGCATTAGTAGCATACCCTGTACCATAGGTCTGCAAACAAAGCATATAGCCCCTTCAGTGAGATCTGTGTGCGAAGCACCAGCGTGCGAGCAGAAGCAGAGCTTGCTGGTGACAAGGAAGCAGTAGGTAAGAAGACACTTGCTAAAAATACATACTGAGATTTTTAAAACTTCAAACTTGAAAATTTTTAAATGAATTGAAAAATATTAAGAAAATGCATACTTTTCATTACCTTTGCTGAACCCCTCCTATTAAAACAACAGATTAAAAAGAAATCAGGAACTATACATTTGCATATATTCACCAAATCTGCTGACGGACCCCCGTTCACAATTAAAAGAGACGTTACTAGGTAAACATGACACAAATATTTTCATCTTTATTCAATCCTCTGGAACAACACGCAGGCATTTATTTATTTATCTTTACTTCAGCTAGAAGGACATTCCATTTATTTAGACTTTAATTAGCTCGTTGTTCTCACAAGCTGAAAGCCCTGCAGGTCCAGCAGTCCTTGCGGGTCTCGGTGTTCCTTCCAGTTGGCTTGCCAATCGTGAGGCAGTCCGTCGTGCACACTGTTGCTCTCACAGCTGCGGACCCCATCGGGGATATCGCAGATGGGGAAGGGGGGTAAAAACAAACTCTAAGCAAGAGTATAATCTCTTCAACACACAGACCTTAATGCAATTAGCTGTTTTAATTTTAAGAGATGCTGAGGTGCTTGAAATGTCATCACTTTTACACAGATTTAAAGGGGTCCAGTTGCACAGGTTGCCAGCACATGGTCGTTTTTATGGCACACCTCCATAAAAGCGATGGGATAAAAAAATCAGGTCTTTGGTGTAAGGATTTCAGATCCTATTCAGGTTTATATAACAGATGGCCAGCACACCACACATCTCATTGATGTGAATGGAAACATTAGCGCTATAGAGTTTCATCCATGTCTCGCTGGGAGATTTAGTTAGCAACTGTTTTGTAAATAGTTTGTATCTCAGTGGAAATTGTGCTAAATCCATGAAAAAAAGGCAGAAAAAGAAATATTACTGTAATTTCCCATACTCACCTTTGTCCTAAATTAATCTTAAAATTCCACTCCAATTAAACACCAGGAATTATTCTTGTGGACTACCAGTATCAACAGTTATGAAAAGAAACTTAAACAAGTATGACTAGGAAGTTTGTTAATGCAATTCAGATTCCTGAATCTTAAACTCCAAACACTGCATTATATTTTCCAAACCTCTCAAAACCTTTATTAGCGCATATGGAGTCTACAAAGTCTCTCAACAATAGATTCCTTTGTGTTTTCCTAGCATGAAGGAAGCATCTGGATGAAATGTGAGTAACAGAAATGCACACAGGTGTAATGTTAAGTTTGGATCTCATGCAGAGTTCTGCTCTTTTAGAAATGGGCTTAATGAAGCAAAGATTAAAATTAGTAAAAGTGTAAATTCAGGAAGGAGGCTCAGGGTAAGGGAATTATTAAAGTCTTTAAATGATGCCTCCTAAGATTTTCTCTGTTCCAAAAAATTCTACAGAATTTAAAAAAAAAACATACAAAAAGCTATGTGTCTCAGTAATATGTGCAAGATGAAGTTCAACACAGCAAGTATAAATAGCATTAAACCCAAAACTAAACCGTTAAGCAACGCCGCTCACCTCTGTTGGAGCCCATACTAGTGTTCAGTCTCATTATAAATAACCTGTGCAAGGTAGCCATCATGAATTCCTGACATAGCCAATTCCTTAGCCTAAAGATCATCACAGTTAATGGTAAAATAAAGACAACAGTCCAGTGCAGGTATTAGCCTTGAAGGACTTTGATGGGCTCAGAAAATTCCTGTAATATGTAACAGCAGCGTTAAGCAAGAAATAAGTGAGTCAATACAACAAAATGGTACATCTCTGGAGAACAAAAAATAAAACAGAGGACGCTGGATTAAAACAGTAAAGTAATATATTTTGATGCAACTTTTAAGAAGATTTTTTTTTATTATTATTATTATTCTATTTAGACAGAAGCAAAGGGTTATAGTGAAATTCTCTCCCAACTCTATCCAACAAAAAATGTTTTTGATTTTCTTTTGTTTAATCGCTTACATTTTTTTTGGCCCAGCCAGCTAAGACAGGGAAAAAAGTTTTCATGTAAACAGTACAGAGCTGGCAAAAAATTACTTCATGGAGAAACATCAAATCCACAATCTTCATGCCGAAAGAATGGAAGC